AGAAACCGAAACGACGCTCCCGCAACGGTGAAGAATAACCTATACATCGTTATGGACGGCCACGACGCGTCGGCTCTGGTCGGCACTGGAGCAGACTACTCCGTCCTGAGTGGGAGGCTCTCCCGACGCCTTCGGAAAGTGACGACGCCGTGGGATGGCCCGCAGATACGGACCGCCGGGGGACATGTTATCACGCCAGTCGGAAGATGCACTGCTCGCGTCAATATCCAAGGCGAAACGTGTCCTGTGAAATTCGTCATTCCAAAAGACTGTGCCAGAGACGTCATCCTCGGCATGGACTTTTTGTGCGAATACGGCGCTGTCATCCACCGTGGTGAAAACAAATTTATGCTGCGTACGCCTGTTCCGCCTTAAGGGACGCCCCCAACAGCGTCAGCTGCCGCCCGAGTCGCTGCCGACTACGTGAACCTGCCTCAGCGATCAAGTGTTATCGTAACCATCGTGAATGATGCCGCTACCGGCGGCGACACTCTTCTATAGGGAAACCTTCAGTTGCTACTGGGAAGAGCAATAGGCATTAGAAAAGGAGTAGCTGAACTTGGGGATGGCCGCACTGTCGTCCTCGTGGCGAACTTCCGAAATTAAACGCAACATCTCACGAAAGCTGCAGCCGTGAGTCACGTCGAGGAACTCCAGAACTCCACCGAAATCACTGTGATTACTGAAAAATTCCTCGCCACCTCAGCAAAAAAGAACTCACCAGTGCAGCTGGTGAGTTCTTTCTTGTTGACCTAAGCTTCCGGGCCCGAAAAGACGGCAGCTGATCGACCTCCTCGCCGAGTACACCGACTGCTTTGAGACATCGTCGAAGGTACGCCAAACCGCCGTTGCGAAGTACCGCATCAATCCCGAGGACGACGCGCGCCCTGTGCATCGATCGCCATACAGAGTCTCCGTAAGCGAAAGGAAGGTAATCCAGGAGCAAGTTCAATACATGCTGAACGACGACATAATCCAGCCTTCAAGCAGTTCGTAGGTCTCTCCAGTCGTACGGGTTAAGAAGGACGGAACGCTTAGGTTCTGTGTGGACTACCAGCAGCTGAACGCGGCAGCGAAGAAAGATGTCTATCCACTCCCCCGCATCGACGACACGTTAGAACGGCTGCGGCACACTCAACACTTTTCATCGATGCACCTGAAGAGCGGCTACTGGCAAATCGAAGTCGACGAAAGGGTCCGAGAGAAGACAGCTTTCGTCACGCCGGATGGCCTGTACGAGTTCAAGGTGATGCCTTTCGGCCTGTGCAGGGCGCCACGAACTTTCCAGCGTGTCATGGACACCGTACTGGCAGGACTGAAGTGGCAGAGCTGTCTCGTGTACCTCGACGACGTCGTGGTGTTTTTCGGCGACTTTGACGAGCACCTGAAGTTGCTCCGAGGTGTTCTCCCAGCTATACAAACCGCCAGACGCACCCTCAAAGCGTCAAAATGTCGCTTCGCTTATGACGAGCTCTAGTTCCTAGGTTACGTGGTTAGTAACGAAGGCATTCGCCCGGACCCAGAAAAGACTCGCGCTGTCGCAGAATATACTGCGTCGACAGACAAGAAGAACGTACGCAGGTTTCTCGGACTATTTGCCTACTATCGGTGCTTCGTTGGGGATTTCGCAAGGATTTCTGCACCGCTCACAAACTTTACGAAGGACGCCGCGCAGTTCGGATGGACCGAAGAGCAGCAGCAGGCATTCGACGAGCTGAACGACGACTTCAGACTCCTCCTGTTCTTGAACATTTCAATCAGGATGCGGAAACAGTTTTTTTAGAAAGAAAAAAGAAGGAAAACCGTACAAAAAGTAGTCAAAACATGTAAAACATGATTTGAGTGCTGCTCCTGTTGAACAAGAACGTCCACAAAATCATCCCACCTAAGTAATCTAGAAAGAATTAGCACTCCCTAAAATTAAAATTCAATAACACATTTTAAACAAAATTCCAGCATCATCAGTCCCAACATAAAGGGTGCCATCCAAACTATACCACGGCTGGATTCTCTTACTCACTTTCCAATGAACGCCTTGACACTAAACTGATTTTTAAATCTGAAATATCTTCTTTCAGGGAATTTATATAGTCACTCGGTTTGATATTATGATGTCCTTTACATGATGTCAAAACAACTCAGTTTCTCCCATTTTTATTCGAACTCCCAAAAGTAGGCTTTTTTTAGTCTCTTTTGCTACAATTCCTGGTACACGTAACAAACGAATCTTACTCAATAATGTTGAATAAGTTCAAGTTGATCAGTCTAGTACTTAAGAAATGAATCATAGGTTACCTGTGCATAATCCAGAGGTGGACACATTTTCGTTTTAAAGACAGACGCGCTCAAATTTGTCGAGTCATATTTCACTGTCGTTAAAAAACCATGCTTCAAAAAGCTCTAGAACAGCGTCATTAACATAAACCTTTCAGTCCAGATCGGTAGAAATTGGTACCCCTGAATCTTCAAGACCTCGAGATTGTAAGATTACGCAATGGACGGAATAAAAAACCATCCAAGGAGGCGTTTTCTTTGTGACTTTTACACGCCTTAATATCTGAAAGCGTTTCTTCATTTTCCTTTTTTCCACCGCTTATTTATAGATATTCGTTACTTTTGTAAAGCTAGTGGTCGCGATGTGAAAAAAAGGTAATGTAAATTGAAGCATGATTGTATGACAAAGGGCGGTATTTAATAAACAGAAGATTTTAATCTAAATATCGATCTTTGAACAAAAACAAAGGTGGGAAGTATTAATAAGAATGTTTCTTATGCAATTTTAACAAATTAGTTTAAGAGCGTGGGTTATAATTCAGAGAACAGTAGACACATTTCCCACATTCAACGATTTTATTAGCAGCTTCGAGCGAGAAATTGAATGCTTTTAATATATCAATTCAGATTCTCAACATTCTCGCAGAATGAAGAACAGTAGAATATCGCGGATATTGAGGTGAAGGAGTCAAGAACGTATTATCCAGTTTGAGAGTTTCTAATCTAAAATGATAGCGTCTGTTAAGTGCGTCCCCTCTGGTAGGATCTAGAGGCAGGTCTTTCTCACCGTGTGTATCGCACAAAACCTTTTTAGCTACTAATTTTCTCTCGGCTTGTGATAATTAAAGTATATTGTCCTGAGCGTGGACTTCGGTGAGGAATATTTGAAAACAAGGTAAAATAACACCGGAAACAAATCTCGCTTTTATCATCAGGTGGCGTCTTGAAAACGACCGATCAGTGACGAATAAGTTAAAAGAGCCCCCTTGCCGACTGTGAAGTATTCTTGATACATCGAATCTATTGACTTGTTTTATTTTCTAAAAAAAAGATTTTAGATTCAGAATAATATATTCCTTCAGGCAGGCGCTGTGGCTACTGACGTAACAAGGCATAAGGTCTAAGAAAGGTAAAAAAAATGCGAAACACGGTATGACCGCAGCAGGAGAAGCAACCTGGTGACCTGGCTACCTACCACAAAGGTACTTCGCAGCATTCCCCACTTCTTGTCTGTACCTGCACAAGTACATCATATAATTTGTACTGTGTTGGTCACGCTCAGCGTATATCAACCCCTAAAAAAGAGGTCATGATATATACTACACGGTGTTTCTTAGAATGCAGGTCACACAACTCCTGCAAAATGTACGCACCGCACAGAAACATGACTGACGTCATCTTTGCCTTTGTCAAAGGGCCTATCGAAGAAATGTATTAAAGTTCGGTATAAGTAAATTTATAATTATTTGCGAGCATTTTTGTTTTGAATTAATGAACTTAAACGTATGGTTTAATGAGAAACTATTTGAAGTACAAAATTAGCTAACTTTACTACGAAGTAATACAGCCCCTCCCCCCCCCCCCCCCCTCTTTTTCGAAACAAATAAGAAACACCAATTTGAACGCGTTTTCAAGCTTCGGTTTTATATCGATGGCGCCTCTTTGCGATACCACTTTGTCGTCCAAATGGCCAAATGACCCAAACCTAATGGGACTCACCACGCATTGTTCGTATGATTGGGGTAACCAAAGGATCAAAAATATATTCTTGCATTATCTTTCAAACAGAAGAGCATTTTTTTACAGGCTCGCCACGAACTTCCTTCTTTCTTCTTTGCGATGAAGGGGAGACGGTAGTTTTGTGCTTTCGTCACGGGTAGCAGCACCGCTTGCGCAAAACCAGAGCTGGTGGTAATGATATAACTGGAATGGAATTACAGTGATTAAATTACTTTTTGGAGTAATGATTAATGTAATGAATTACTTCTTATGGCCAGTGATTTAGTAATGTAATGAATTACTTTCGGGCAGTAATTTCGAGAAAATTACTCATTACTCTTGAAATTACTTTTGTCCTAATTTATAAGAATCCTTTGCAAGCTTTCAAAAAGAACAGAAAAATATTTTGCATGGTGAAATGTTGTAGAGAGAGCATAGGGGGAAATAAACGATGGCCACCTGAGTGCAAATCCTTGTACGAAGAGCTGGACAGACGCAGAGAGGAGGGCTGGAAAGGCGAAGGACAAAAGCTAGCGTGTAGACATCGCTGGAAAGCAACGGCTTATGAACTCTAGGCAGGACAGATTCGCGGCGACGATACTATACTACTTTCACCTCTAAGTTGACAGTGCTGTGGGAGCTGCAAGCTAACCAGAACCAATGATGAAGATTATTAACTTTATTTTCAAAAAGGGTTGCGCCATAGCCTCATTGGGGGAAGGGGAACATAGGTAGAAAAGTTTACATTCGGAGGTGCACTCCGGTCGAGCGCGGGAACTCCCATAGGGAGAGTAGTGTCTCCCTGGCCCGTGCCTCGTTAACCGGTGTGATCCAGGCCTCTAAAGTGTCGATGTGAGGCCCCGCGTGTTCGGCTCTTTTGTCTCGCATGCGGGCACAATCCCAGAGGAGGTGTCGGATTGTCGGGCTTACGCCGGCGGTGCATGTAGTGCAGACGACAAGTGGCAGCGGGCTCGGACCCTTCCGATGGCACTTGGTCGGGTCCCTCCGTGGCTTCTAGCTACGCCACCGAGCGAGTATGTCTTCGGTGAGCACAGCTCCTGTGCGGGCCTTGTGTATTAACACTTGTGCCCCTCTGGGTAAACACTTGGGTAACGGTGCCGGGTTGTGCGGTGTTTGATCTCGCAGCCGACGCTCATCCTCTTGTCGGGCCGCAGATTTCTTCTCTAGGGGGTCTGGGTCCGGCGGCGCAAAGGGGACGAAGATCCCTGGGTTGGAGCGGTCTTCCCTATGCTCGCTCGCCCACGCGTGTGCAGACTCGTTGCCGATGCCGCCCGCGTGTCCCGGGACCCAGTCCACTCTCACCTCAGTACCTTTGGTGTTTTTCAAATACGAGCACAGACTCTTGATTCGCTGGCAGAGCGTCCCTTCGCGAGGAGTTTTCCCCAAACGGGCAAGGGCTTCCCTACAATCCGTGAAGATGGTTACAAGGGTAGGCACGTCCACTGGGTCGAATTGGCCCTGGGTCGAATTGGACCTGGCACTATCTTCTTCGAGATAGTGCCAGGTGTATTGCATCAAGTTCGAGGCGGCTCGTGCTAGGATCGCTGTCGTATTGAAGTGTATGAGCATATCGGTCCTGGCCAATAGCGTAGGCGAGTGTGGCCCGCTTCGTCCTTGGCACCACGCGGCGTCTGTGAAGACCGGGTGCTCCACGAGGTCTGCCCGCGCAGCGACTGCAGCTCTTTCTTCCGAATGTTCTTCGCGATGTTATTTGCGAGTGAGCGGCTTGGGGTTCCTGACCATAATGTCCTCCCATGGTGACATGCTCTTCAGAGGCGGGACTTCTCCTACGGGAGGCCACCAACCATGTAATTGCAGAAGACGTTGACCGGCTCTAGTCGACGTCCGGCGCCACTGATGGCAGGAAACGCGGGTCTCAATGATGGCTTGTAGAGTCGGAAGGTTCGAGTACCGATGCAGCTCTTCCGCCTTAGTGTGTCTTGGGAGACCCGTGATTGCACGCAGGTATTCCCGATGCACTATCTCCAGCTGTTCGTACTGCCCCTTGGTCAGGATGAAACATGCGTCTCCATAGCAGGCTTTTGAGGTGAGGACTGCTTGAGTGAGCAAGCGGATGGTGCGCGTGCCCGCGCCACCGAGGCGGTTGCCCATTCTCTTAATGACTTGGAGCTCTTGTCGCCACTTGGGTTTGAGTAGCTTGATCCACTCTTGCGCTCCTCCTTGTTCGTGCAGTGGGACTCCCAATATGCGAATCCGACGTTTGAGGGAGCGCTGAACAGACTGGCCGACCAGGGTCAGCTGTATTTGAGCTCTGTTCTGCTCAAGACCGCCCACGATGAGGAAGGCGGTCTTCTCTGGAGAAGGTTGCATGCCCGTAGTATTCAGGCACTGGTCAATGGCATCTAGGGCCGTCTGCTTGGTTACGACCGTTTCTTTAGTGTCGAGCTTTGTGTTACGGGGGTCCACCCAAAGGGTGATGTCGTCCGCATAAGTTGTGTGCTGAAGGTGTGGGACAGCGCGCAACACTCTTGCTATTTTTCTCATGACTAAGTTGAAAAGGGTCGGCGAAGGGATGGCTCCTTGAGGTACTCCACGAAAATTCTGGAACATGCGGGGTTGCTGGGCGCCCAAGCTGATCTCAAAGGTACGATTCTTGAGGAAACTTGTCATGAAATTGATTATGCGGGCGCCTGCGCCGCTCTCTTCGAGTGCCTCGATCACTGCCGAATGCTCAACGGTGTCAAAAGCTTTCCGGAGATCCACTGCCACCAGGAGTCCGGGTACCTTGTTGGTTCCTCGGCGCCTCTTACCCAGGAAGTTTCGGAGGAGGTGTAGGCTGCCGTGGGTGCACAGTCCGGAGCGAAAACCAGTCTGCGCAGCGTCGTAGTGAGGGTCGTCCCTGGATTCTTCCAAGACATAAGTGAGTCGCGTAAGGACCATCCGCTCGAGCAGCTTGCATAGCGTAGACGTAAGTGAAATTGGTCGGTGGTTCTGTACTTGATCCAGACTCTTTCCTGGTTTCGGAATAGGGTACACCACTGAATGTTTCCAGTCCGCCGGTAGTACTCCTGACGCCCAAACGTCGTTAAGCTCTTTCAGGAGCTTTCGTTTCTCCGGCTCCTCCTGGTTGCGCAGCATACGCCAAGTGATTCCACCTTTGCCCGGGGCGCTGCGCTCGTTTACAGAGTCCAAGGCCGGTGTCAATTCTTGAATCGTGAACGGGGCATCTTGTTCTGTGTCGCTCGGTGGTTGCAGTTCGTAAAGGCACAGGTCCGGATCGTTAGCAGGTTGTGGGGAAAGGCCTTGGCGGCTGCTTCCTCGAACTGCTCCGGAGTTTGGTCGGTGGCTAGCTGGATGTTGCGAGGAGTGTTGGGCGCCTTGGTCTTGCCAGTCAAGGCTCTGTGGGCGCGCCATAGCTTGCGGGTGCCTGTTCGTTCGTCAAACGTCGCGCAGTGCTCAAGCCACCTCGAGCGAGCCAGGCATTTGGCATATATACGTGCCTGTGCCGTCTTGTTGTGCAAACGCACTAGGTCCTTGAATCGTTTGCCGTTGTTAAGATATATCTTGTGGAGCCGCTTGCGTGCCTCCCACAGGTTGATTAGATGTTTTTCGGGATCGGGGTCTTGGTCTTGCACCTCCAGGTTTCGCGTGGCCGCTTGCGCTGCCCTCAGTAATTTTGCGGTTACGGGAACCGCATCTTGGCACGTCGCCACCGCCTTCCCGAAGGCGTCCCAGTCGATGGCCTGAGTTAAGCGTCTGCGCCCTGCTTTGCCGCCGGTTGAGAGCTCCAGCCAGATGGGATAGCGGTCGGATCCTATAGGGTCCGGTCCGCATCGCCAGTCGGCCACCAGTCGGGAGTCCACCCAGGTCAGGTCCGGGGTGGTGTCTCGCTGTCCCTTGTGCAGTCCGTGCGACCGCCCTTGAGACCTCTCGCAGTTATTTCGGCGTATGATTGAAGCGGACCCTGGATCTAAACCTTGCTCGACCCGCGCAGCCGGGAGGTAGTACCCTTGGAACCGGGACGTGAGTTAGTGGTGCCAGAGGGTTTCTTGGATCGCTGCCTGCGCTTGCGGGAGCGGCTCCGCGCCATTCTTTCTTGTTTGGTTCCTTCCCTTTGTTTCGCGCGCTGAGCGAATTGAGCTCGAGCGGGACAAGAGGGATCGGTAGCCACGTGTCCATCCTGTTTACAATGACCACAGTACTTGTCCTCGCCATTCGGGCAGGCTTCCGGGGGTTGCTCATGTTGTTTTCCGCAGTTGCTGCAGACCGGCTAGTTAATCGGGCAGCTGGTGGCTTTATGTCCCGGGTGGTGACAGCGCGGGCACACGAGAGGTCGCTGTTCGTACCATTCCACCCTTTTCGGGAAGCTCCAATACATAACGTCGCGTGGCGGATGCGGAGATGCAAAGTGGATGAGGACCAGGGTGTCGAACCGGAACCGAACCGAACCGAAAACCGGAACCGAACCGTTATTTTTAGCCGAACCGGAACTGAACCGAACCGAAATCTTTGCCGCCATCTTGGAACTGAACTGGAACTGAACCAAAAAAAATATAACGGTAACCGGTTCAAAACGGTTCAAGGAATTGTTTTTGTTAGTGTCACAAAATAAATATTCGAGAATAAGAAATCGGCAGCTGCATTTCTATATATATGGATCAAATCGTCATATTCAGAACTGCTATGTGGGAGAAATTATGGGCTCCCGTAGCGCTTTTGTTCTGGCAGTAGGATTAATCATGTGTCACGTGGTCACTTGACGTGCATAGTGTCATATATAATGATTGGAACGCGTCTGCGACTGGTGTGTTTACCGCGCCAAAAAAAGTGGTCCCTCAATGTCCGCTTGATGACATCATAGAAGTGTTGTGCTGTCGCCGGTCGCGATCTTGGCGGTGTCCCAGCAGCGGTGGTTGATGTGGCCGACGCCTGTTCTGCTGCAGGTCGCTCTCCAGTGCAGCAGTTCACGGTAGCTTCGATAGCCAGAAGTTGGGACGCCATGACGCCCGCGACACTTGCGTTCGCTCGTGCTTTTCGCCAGCATTCCTACGACGAACCGCCAGAATCGCGTCATCCGACAGCAGAATACTCCAGCTTTTATGACGTCATTTGGTAACACTTTGGGCCTACTGTTAAGAGAGATGGAACACTAAACACACCAGTCAAAAACGCGCTCCAGGCACCCTAGTGTCAAGACATGCTGTCAAGTAATGTCACGTCACTTGGCCCAGTGACGTCATGTGACTCACTTCGTCAAATTGATTTAGATTTAGAACGTCACGAGATTTATTGGCGTTGTTGACATCGTGACGTCACATGACATCACGACTTCGCACCGCAAGTCATGTTGCACCCTAGCGTACTCGCTTGTCAGGAGCCGGAGTCGAGTGCTCGCGTTTATGACAGTCAGCATCACCAAACCGCTCTTTACGGTATTTACTGAAAGTACAAAAACTGCTGCGCGACCTATTTTACGCCTATACATCATTGAGGCACCCAAACATGTTTTCGTTGTTCCTACTGCCTCAGATAGTTGTCTTCGTGAAGCATTTACGAAATGTATTATTAAATAATCCTATGTTACATAGAACTACAACTGTGTACGAGAGGGATATCGGGAAAGAAAGATTCTAGTGGCCTCGGAGGGACATTTTGCCCCAAGCTTCGACCATCTCCGTAGTTTGTTTATTTTTGGGTGCAAAATAAAAGCGATGGAAAATTATCCTAATAAGCCGAATTAACACCCACAAACGGAGTAGGGAGTCCCTCAGTAAGAAAAAGTAGTCTCTAAAGAAGCAACGAAAAAAGTAAGAAAAAAAATAAGAGGGGGGGAGGGTACTTTTAAGAGCGTACTGTGTTGTAACGGTTTCTCTGCTCCGCATTTTCGGCATAGACAAGAAAGCGTGGCCCCGGAAACAAGCATCTTTGCAAAAGATACTCTAACCAGAAACCGCGATTTCGTGGTGCCAGGTTCTCGCGCCGTTCCTCACGACGCTGCTCCAATCAAGAATAATTTGTGTCTCTCAAATACATGGCTTGCACTCAAAGTGAACGTTCTGCAGCGTGCATTTTGCATTACCTGTTTTTATTTTCTGACTAAGAGCAATTGCAATAGAGCCTTCCGGAAAATCCCAAAAGATTTCGCTGCAGTGGGAATCGTGGGGCTGTTCCGATATACGCTCGGTGCCGGCTCGAACGCTTCGTATATTTTAGTAGCGACGCGGTTCATTCTCTTATAATAAGGAGCTTAGAACGCCCAAAAATAACGCGGACACAGAAAGAGCTCATCGCATTCTCCGTTTTGCTTTCCTTCTGCCTTCTCTGTGTTATTAAACCACAGAACATTAAGCCAACGTCAACTTCGTCCCAACCTCCTGATGAATTTCACGTGCCGTACATAGGAACGTCACAATGCGTCAAGCATACAATGGGGGCGCCACATATTTCCGGAAAGGTCTATTACCACCAGCATAGTGCGATGACGTCACGTGCATACCATGTTAAACAGTTCAGTTTCCTTATGAAATGCGATGTTCGCAACACTAGCGAAAGCAGATAATCGAATTGTATATTTGTGCAGTATAGATAGCAGTCTCGCGATGATATATAGCAGGCAAACAAAATGTTAGAGCGCATGACTGAAGGCACAAAGTTGTAAAGTGAGTGCAAAAAACAAGTGCACGTCAAGGCCGAATGTAACATTAATTTCCGAGGCGGTATCTCCCGAAGTTTCAAGTTTATCCAAACTGATGGCCAAATGTAATTTAAGTTAGTGATATATGAATCTTCGTCGGTCCTTTGTGCTATTTATGTGTAATGGGTATATCATTACGTCTCTACAATTTTTTTTTTGCGCTAATGCGTCGTGCATCAGATTCTTTTTAAGATTACCCATTTATTTTCGTTCTCTTTCTGCCCATTTCGCGTATTTAACTTCAGATCTATTATATTAGCACAAAGTCCTATTATGCATATCCGGCGACCCGGTGTTTCACACTTCCAAACGGCGAAATAAAAGAATAAAAAATGTTGCCACAGCCCTCAACCGCTGGTGTATTCGAGTATTGTCCTTCTGTATCGGTCTCAAGCAGTTATGTGGCATGGTAAAAGAGTACCACGTAAAAGACGGGACAGAGAAGTAACACACAGGACCAGCGCTAACTTGACACTAAAAGGTCTATTTCGTCTTCTATGCGCTACTCTTTGATTACGTCTGTCAACAACTAACGAGCCCGTCAATTCATTATGTTCAGTTATGTGAACTTAATACAGTCACATTTATTGATGATAATAAAACTATATTGAATTACTGACAGAAGGTTTCACAACATAAATGAAAGGTCGATCACCTTGAAGATATAAATCATTAGTAAATTCACCCGCAAATTATCTGAAAGATCCTCTGCAAATCTCTTTTGGCATTTTTATCCTCGATAAACCCGAAGCGATTTGCAGTAGCGTTACTGTGTTCCTCACACATATCTGACTTAACAAACATATAGAAACCTGTTATTCCCTCCTTTATGTCACGAACAGCAGTTTTATGTGTCTTTGGGCAGGACCAAAACAAAGTCGACAGGGAAGCGTGACGGAACTTTGACGATTACGCACGCAGAACGTCAGGGCTGTCATGTCGAGTAGAGCATAAAATACTATTTTGTTCTAGGAACCACCATGAGTTTCCTCTCCAGCTTATGTTTGCTCGAACTAACATTTTCAAGTTGTAATTTTTGCCACGCACTATATCTAATTTGAACGCACTGCCCTATAATGTTTTTATCTCCCTGACTTCAATAAAGCACTAAATC